CCTTAGATTGTACGCCCCTTGAGGGTTAGGGACCTTAGATTGTACCCCCCTTGAGGGTTAGGGACCTTAGATTGTACGCCCCTTGAGGGTTAGGGACCTTAGATTGTACGCCCCTTGAGGGTTAGGGACCTTAGATTGTACGACCCTTGAGGGTTAGGGACCTTAGATTGTACGACCCTTGAGGGTTAGGGACCTTAGATTGTACGACCCTTGAGGGTTAGGGACCTTAGATTGTACCCCCCTTGAGGGTTAGGGACCTTAGATTGTACACCCCTTGAGGGTTAGGGACCTTAGATTGTACGCCCCTTGAGGGTTAGGGACCTTAGATTGTACGCCCCTTGAGGGTTAGGGACTGATGTGAATGTACAATATATATATAAAGTGCTGCATAAATTGACGGCGCTATATAAGTACCTGAAATAAATAAATAATAAAAATTAACTATTTCAGACATTTTGAGAGAAATAGAGAGAGCAGAAGCAGAGAGAGCAGTATGTGTTGAGATGTCTTTTCTGGTTGTATTCACTATGGATCCCATCATGAGCATAATGCGGCACGTTCTACCATTTTTTCCTTCACGTGAAGCCTGGAACTGACTGTGCTGGTGTACCAGGTCCATTGGAATACGTGGAAAACGCTTTGCGTGCATTTTTGATAATGAAAAAAGGCTCTGGACATGGAACAGTTAAACACTTCTAAACGCAAACACTTATAAACGCGGTTAACACGCGTTTGAAATGCCAGTAAAATCTACTCCTGAACGCAAGTTTGGTGCGTTAAAAAAAAAAAAAAAAAAAAAAACGCCTGTAAACGACGATGTGTACACGGACACATAGGAAAACATTAGGGAGAGTTCAGGGGCTGCTGAAAAAAATGCTGAACAGCTCCTGAACGTCCGTTTATCAGCCGCAGTGTACATGAGCCCTAAATACTTCAGAATTGCCAGTTAAAAAAGAAGCTCCTCAGACAAAATGAAAGTAGTTGGGGTTCTTCACTATCAGTAGCTGCCCATGAATGCCCAAACCAGAACAATACCAAAAATGCGGCAACAAGACCGAGTAACGAGCACAAGGCGGTCCAAATGATGCGCAAATCCTAAATTGTATTCCCCGCTTCACACAAACATTTCTGGCTGAAAGGTAAAAGCATAAATCACATTCGTGAAATCCCTCTTCGTCGGGTCCGGGAGGGCCGCCAGGAGAACCCCCCCGGGCTGCAAGCAGTCCCTCGGCCTTCCTACGCGGCGGTTTCTTTATTACTCTGTAAACCTCAGACAGTCAAAGTGAAGCCGAGCGATCCTTGTAAAATAAGATGTTAACAAGCCCTTCGTGTCAGAACGTGAGCGACTTCTCATTAAAGGAAACAGACTGCGTAGGGTAATGACCACCAATGACAAGCCTTCACCTTCCCTCTCATCAGAGGACAATGAGCAGCATGCTGTGTACAGACAACGGCTACCTGTGCTTAAAGGGGGACTACAGTCCGGATAAATTACCTGCATTTAGTGTGTTAATTAGGAGCTTGTATATCCTTTAACAAGTTGCCGACCGCAGATATCCGAATGACGGCCACACTGCGGCCGGCCAGTTCTGGGAGGGCGTCATATGCACTCCTGCACGCACCCGGCGATCTCCCTGATCACTGTGTCCTACGAACACAGCTGATCATGTGATGTTGTAACAGGCCAATCACAGCAGCCTTTTACCACGTGATAAGCCGTGTCCAATGACACGCCGATCACAGGGAAATGCGATTGCCGGTTCTCGGTTGCACGCTGTCAGATCATGAGGAAAGTACTGCTGAGAACCGGCAGTTGTTAGAGCGGGGATTGGCACCGATCATCAGGGCACTGATTAGTGCCCAGCAGTGCAACCCACCAGTTCTGCCCACATGTGCCCAGCAGTGCAACCACCTGTGTCCAGCAGTGCCACCCAGCAGAGCCCATCAGTGCTGCCAGCCAGTGCCCAGCAGTTGCGCCAGTCAATGCCTAACAGTGCCCAGCAGTGATGCCAGTCAGTGCCACCTATCAGTGCTGTCTATCAGTACCCATCATCAGTGCCGCCTTACAGTGCCGACTATCCGTGCCCTTCAATGCTGCCCATTAGTGCTGCCCATTAGTGCTGCCCATCAGTGCTGCCCATCAGTGCTGCCCATCAGTGCTGCCCATCAGTGCTGCCCATCAGTGCTCCCTAACCCTTGAGGGTTAGGGACCTTAGATTGTACGCCCCTTGAGGGTTAGGGACTGATGTGAATGTACAATATATATATGTAAAGCACTGCGTAAATTGATGGCGCTATATAAGTACCTGAAATAAAAATAATAACATATTACAAAATGGTTAGCACTTCCGCCTGGCAGTACTCGGGTCGCTGGTTCTAAATCCCAACCACGGCACCTCCTGCTTGGAGTTTGCATGTGCTCCCTGTGCCTGCGTGGGTTTCCTCTGGGTACTCCGGTTTCCTCCCACACTCCAAAGACAGGCTGGTAGGTTAATTGGATCCTGTCTAAATTGGCCCTAGTATGTGTATGTATGAATGTGAGTTGGGGACCTTAGATTGTACACCCCTTGAGGGTTAGGGACCTTAGATTGTACGCCCCTTGAGGGTTAGGGACCTTAGATTGTACGCCCCTTGAGGGTTAGGGACCTTAGATTGTACGCCCCTTGAGGGTTAGGGACCTCAGATTGTACGCCCCTTGAGGGTTAGGGACCTCAGATTGTACGCCCCTTGAGGGTTAGGGACCTCAGATTGTACGCCCCTTGAGGGTTAGGGACCTCAGATTGTACGCCCCTTGAGGGTTAGGGACCTCAGATTGTACGCCCCTTGAGGGTTAGGGACTGATGTGAATGTACAATATATATGTAAAGTGCTGTGTAAATTGACAGCACTATACAAGTAACAAATAAATAATAAATAAAATGGCACAGCCAGGGGTGGACTGACAACTCATGGGTCCCCGGGCAATAGGGGATCATGGGGCCCGTGTCCTTGCCCAAACTCAAAAAAGCCTATGAAAAAAGGTACCAGGGGCATCTCATAGGGCCCCCTACTGACCCCGGGCCCTCGGGCAGTGCCCGAGTTTCCAAATGGCCAGTCCGCCCCTGGGCCCAGCAGGAGTGATTCGCTCATTTTCCTCGAATTTCTTGATGGGAGAATCACTCCTGCTGTGATTTTGAATTAGGACGGTGGAGATCCTCCCCTGCCATCAGAATACATTGATCAGCGCAGGCAGCTATAGCCTGTGGCTCCGATCGAGTGGCAACAATCAGAAAGAATGGTTGTACAGAGTAGATCAACTTCCATAAAACCACCCAGCCAATACATGGATCGAACTATGTCTGATCCCTGCCGAACCAGCTGAATTTCGATCCATGCACAGCCGGCATAAACATCGTTCAATCAGGGTTTGATTCTACGATAAATTATGTGAACGGATGAAGGAGCAGCAATGCCCCGACTACACACCGGGCAGAGATGCAGAGAATACAACCAGACCGGCCCTGACAAACCTGCCCGACATGCTCACATCACAAGCTGGGCCATGTGCTTGCCTGACCTGTTCAAACGTCGGGCCTGCAAGTCAGATTTTGCCCTGCAAAAAAAAAAAGGGATGAGGTCATCTGATGTGGAAGAATACTCCGCAGGAAAACCATTTCATCAAACGGTGATTAAACGCTCCAGTCGGCCGCCTGTTTACTCCCAAAACTGCCTTATAATTACTTGGCAATTACTTAGAGGAATAACAAGTCTGACTCCAGATAGGAATGAAATAAAGAGAACACAATGGGGGGCGTAAAGAACATTCCCACGGGTTTAAAAAACGGGGAAATTCTTGCTATTTATTCACATTGAATTTTTGATGGTTATTTAAATTGCCAGAAAAAAAAAAAAAGAAAAAAAAAGGAAAGAAGCAGGCAGTGTGCATTATAAAACAATTTACATCTCAGAGAAAAAACAACAAAAAAAACAAAAACAAAAAAAAAAAACGCCACCGATCAAAACCAACCCCTCCCAGCGTGCATGTTTTATTTCAGTACCCAAAACTGTGAAAGGTAAAAACAGGAGTCTGATCACATGTGAGATCTCTTGCTGCTTTCCTGTCATGCTGAGCCCCTGGCTTTAAGACCAAACCAGCTGCCCTGAAGCAAGCATGTGGCCAGTGAAGACAAAATTCCATATATATATATTTGCTCTGTTGCTCGAAGTAGCACCTTGAAGCCACAGATGGGCATGCAAGTAGAATTTGCAGAGGGAGCTCAGCAATAGCCGACTGCACAAGTCCCCATCAAAGTGTTCCTGAACCCACAAAAGTACAATCAGTCTGTAGATGCAGTAAAGCATGCTTGTTATACTCACTGTGCAAACCTAAGGGGTTAATCCTCTGCATTGTGTAAAAATGCTGTTGGATCCTGTCTTTGATTGCTTCCCCCCCCCCCTTCCTCCTTCGACTGTCCCCAATCTATCTGCTGATAGTACAGAGCTCTAAGAGTTACTCTGCACATGCTCAGGCTAGTGTGTATTTCCTCCTTCTACTGCCCCCAATCTATCTGCTGATAGTACAGAGCTCTAGGAGTCACTCTACACATGCTCAGGCTAGTGTGTATTGCTAAAGGTTGTTTTTTCCCTTCGTATGTGATAAGCACAATCAGCGCTGTCCAGACAGAGGTTCAGGGGTCATGCAGCCTCATAGGACAGTTAAGGCAGAATGAAAAACTTCTCCAAGATTAACCAGTGCTCAGAAGGACACTGATAGAAGTCACAAGACTGCTATATACTGCTGATGAGAAAAGGTATTTAGCAGTTTATATTTACTAAAATAATTGCATTTCCATGTTCTCTATACTGTGGGGACCAGATATAGTGAATGCGGGGTCCAGGCAGACCGGATATAGTGAATGCGGGGTCCAGGCAGACTGGATATAGTGAATGCGAGGTCCAGGCAGACCGGATATAGTGAATGCGGGGTCCAGGCAGACCGGATATAGTGAATGCGGGGTCCAGGCAGACCGGATATAGTGAATGCGGGGTCCAGGCAGACCGGATATAGTGAATGCGGGGTCCAGGCAGACCGGATATAGTGAATGCGGGGTCCGGGGAGACCGGATATAGTGAATGCAGGGTCCGGGGAGACCGGATATAGTGAATGCAGGGTCCGGGGAGACCAGATATAGTGAATGCAGGGTCCAGGCAGACCGGATATAGTGAATACGGGGTCCGGGGAGAGCGGATATAGTGAACGCAGGGTCCGGGGAGAGCGGATATAGTGAACGCAGGGTCCGGGGAGAGCGGATATAGTGAACGCAGGGTCCGGGGAGAGCGGATATAGTGAACGCAGGGTCCCCGGGGAGAGCGGATATAGTGAACGCAGGGTCCGGGGAGAGCGGATATAGTGAACGCAGGGTCCGGGGAGAGCGGATATAGTGAATGCAGGGTCCGGGGAGAGCGGATATATGAATGCAGGGTCCGAGGAGAGCGGATATAGTGAATGCAGGGTCCGAGGAGACCGGATATAGTGAACGCAGGGTCCGAGGAGACCGGATATAGTGAATGCAGGGTCCATAGAGAGCGGATATAGTGAATGCAGGGTCCGGGGAGAGCGGATATAGTGAATGCAGGGTCCGGGGAGAGCGGATATAGTGAACGCAGGGTCCGGGGTTTAGCAACACTTTAAAGCTGAACTCCAGGCATCTGCCACCCACCACTAAAAAGAATCCAAACCAAAAAGCCCCCTTTACTCGCCTAAATGTGATCACATGACATGTAGGGATTCAAATTATCTACCTTCTTCAAAGCAGGGTGGGGGGGGGGGGGCTTCTTTGCATGTCCATACTGCTGCCTCTGTAATAGGGAAAAAGTAAATTAAGATGGTATTTTGAATGGGAGGGGGGGGGGCTGAGGGAGGGGGAGGAGCTTTGCCTGGATATGGGCTTTAAAGCATTTTGTGTTGGGAAGGGTTAGAACTTGTCAGATATTAAACAAAGCATTTTTTTTCCCCACTGGAATTCTTCAGCAGAAATATAAATGCGGTCTGCCTGTCCCTATTAGGACTTCCCTTCACTTCCTGTCAGATGGAAAGGAAATAAAAACAAAGTCCCCTAATGGGGACACAAGGAACAGCAAAATTCTAATAGATTCTAAACCCTTAACACGGGCGACAAAACAGGATGAGAAGCCCACCTAAAGGAGAATATGCAGCTGCTCAGGGCTGTACACAAGCTGCAGTAAAAACATACTGCTGCGCTGCACTGCTGCAAAAGCAACCCATTCAAGTGAAAGCGGCTACAATGCAAACAGTCGGAATGCACCGGTTTACAATTTGTTGGATTGGGCTTTTCAGGATTTAAAACGCTAACTTAGTCCTATAAAACACTGTCTTAGGGTGACAACGCTGCTCCTCTATAGATACACTATAGGACAGGGGTGTCACACCAAATTTCATCGCAGGCCACATCAGTTTTCTGGTTGCCCTCACAGGGCCGGTTGTATCTGTAAGATTAGATGTCCAGAGCACCTCACCCCCCTTTCATCAGATGTCAACACCCCCCACCCCCTCAATTTAAGAGTCCGCCACCCTCCCTTACCCTGTGCTGCTGCTGGCAAGGAGCAGGGAAACAGAAAGTGAAGATTCTGGAGGGGGATCAAAGAAGGGCTGGAGTCAGCTGAATACTGAGACCAGGGGAGGCAGAGACAAGGAGGTGCTGCGGCTGCACAGAGAGGGACAGGATCTGTAGGAGGAGTTCTGTCCTCCTTTCTGCTGACGACTGCTGAGACAGAAGGTAGGCAGAGGTGTGCCTCTGCATAGAGAAGTGCAGGATCTGTAGGAGGAGTTCTGATTCCTCTTTGCTGCTGACTGCTGAAACAGAAGGTGGGCAGAGATAAGCCTCTCTATGGCTGTACAGAGAAGTGCAGGATCTGTAGGAGTTCTGTCCTCCTTTCTGCTGACGACTGCTGAGACAGAAGGTGAGCAGAGGTGTGCCTCTGCATAGAGAAGTGCAGGATCTGTAGGAGGAGTTCTGATTCCTCTTTGCTGCCGACTGCTGAGACAGAAGGTGGGCAGAGATAAGCCTCTCCGTGGCTGTACAGAGAAGTGCAGGATCTGTAGGAGGAGTTCTGTCTTCCTCTTTGCTATCGACTGCCGAGACAGAAGGTGGGCAGAGGTGAGCCTCTCCATCTCTGCATAGAGAAGTGCAGGATCTGTAGGAGTAGTTATGTCCTCCTTTCTGCTGACGACTGCTGAGACAGAAGGTGGACAGAGGTCAGCCTTTCTGTGGCTGCAGAGAGAAGTGCAGGATCTGTAGGAGTTCTGTCCTCCTTTCTGCTGAAGTCTGCTGAGACAGAAGGTGGACAGAGGTGAGGTGAGCCTCTCTATGGCTGTACAGAGAAGCGCAGGATCTGTAGGAGTTCTGTCCTCCTCTTTGCTGCTGGGACAAAGTGGATGTGGATACAAGGGGATTACTGTAGCTGCAGGATCTGTAGGAGTAGTTCTGACTTCCTCTTTGCTGCCGATTCCGGAGACAGAAGGTGGACAGAGGTGAGCTTTTCTATGGCTGTACAGAGAAGTGCAGGATCTGTAGGAGGAGTTCTGTCCTCCTTTCTGCTGATGACTGAGACAGAAGGTGGACAGAGGTGAGCTTTTCTATGGCTGTACAGAGAAGTGCAGGATCTGTAGGAGGAGTTCTGTCCGCCTTTCTGCTGACGACTGCTGAGACAGAAGGTGGACAGAGGTGAGCTTTTCTATGGCTGTACAGAGAAGTGCAGGATCTGTAGGAGGAGTTCTGTCCTCCTTTCTGCTGCCGACTGCTGAGACAGAAGGTGCACAGAGATAAGCTTTTCTGTGGCTGCAGAGAGAAGTGCAGGATATGTAGCAGTAGTTCTGACTGCCGATTCCGGAGACAGAAGGTGGACAGAGGTGAGCCTTTCTGTGGCTGCACAGAGAAGTGCAGGATCTGTAGGAGGAGTTCTGTCCTCCTTTCTGCTGACGACTGCTGAGACAGAAGGTGGACAGAGGTGAACGTTTCTGTGGCTGCACAGAAAAGTGCAGGATCTGTAGGAGTTCTGTCCTCCTCTTTGCTGCAGACTGCTGGGACAAGGTGGATGTGGATACGAGGGGATTACTGTAGCTGCAGGGTCACATGAAATGGCCTGGTGGGCCAAATCTGGCTGGTGGGCTTTGTGTCAGACACATGTGGTATAGGGAGTGAACAGTGTCACCTTAGGACAGGAATAAAAACTAATGCAACCAAATCTAAAGACTACATTTTTTTTTTTTTTTTAATGTTTTTTTTTTTTTTTTGTTCTTTGGGTTTCGATATATTGTAACCCTTTGTTGGTTTTGGCCCAATGTTGTATGTAGAAATGTACAGTATAATTCTGCAGGGGGCCCCAAGAGACAAACTGGACAGCAGGAGAGCGAGCAGAATCCGAGAATACTTCACTATCTCCGCTCTGCATTAAACTTGTGACTTTGCCCTGAATGGGCGCCCATCAGTGACTGTCTTCAGTTTAGATAAGAAGAGCATTACACAATCCTGAGTCCAAGTCGGCTGTCGGCAAAGGAAGAGGTGTGGCAGGAGCTGAACTTTGGTGCAGGGAAACCGCTGAGATTCAGAGGCAGAAAATAAAATTGCAGGGCAGGGAGGTCAGAGGACGCACCCATGGAAGGAGCAGGAGTGGAATGTGACAAGATCACCTCTTCCAGCTTTTCTATCACATTTCTTCTCCACCATTTTATTATTCCATTTGTTTTTTTATTTAAAGAACACCTACTGACTAATAACAACCCTACACCATGTTCCCACTTCTGCCGTCCTACAGCCTGGTGTACTATGGGAAGTTGGTCTATCCTCACCCAGAAAACGCTAATTGTCTCTCCTTTACCCCCCCAGTTCACATATATGCAGCCGTGCGGGCCTTGCTTTGCGCGGGCACAAGAGCCCATTCATTTGAATGGACTCCCGTGCCCCGGGAAACGCAGGGAAGAAGTCCCGGCACTTCTGAAAACGCGGTTGGAATTTCCAGTGCGGGCGGCGTGCCATTAGTTATTTATTTATTACAGGTACTTATATAGCGCCGTCAATTTCCGTAGCGCGTTACATGTATATATTGTACATTCACATCTCTTGTATTGAACTGTATTGTCTCCTGTTATATTGTAAAGCGCTGAGCAAACTGTTGGCGCCATAAATCCTGTATAATAATAATAATATATACACACACACACACGTATGTATATGCGTGTGTTTTTTATTTATATATAATCTATATCTATCTCTATCTATAAAAAAAACACACACACACATATACATACGTGTGTGTGTGTGTATATATGTATGTATGTATGTATATAGATAGATAGATATAGATATAGATAATAGATAGATAATAGATAAATAGATAGAGAGAGATAGAGAGAGAGATAGAGAGAGAGATAGAGAGAGAGATAGAGAGAGAGATAGAGAGAGAGATAGAGAGATAGATAGAGAGATAGATAGAGAGATAGATAGAGAGATAGATAGAGAGATGGATAGAGAGATGGATAGAGAGATGGATAGAGAGATGGATAGAGAGATGGATAGAGAGATGGATAGAGAGATGGATAGAGAGATGGATAGAGAGATGGATAGAGAGATGGATAGAGAGATGGATAGAGAGATGGATAGAGAGATGGATAGAGAGATGGATAGAGAGATGGATAGAGAGATGGATAGAGAGATGGATAGAGAGATGGATAGAGAGATGGATAGAGAGATGGATAGAGAGATGAGATAGAGAGATGGATAGAGAGATGGATAGAGAGATGGATAGAGAGATGGATAGAGAGATGGATAGAGAGATGGATAGAGAGATGGATAGAGAGATGGATAGAGAGATGGATAGAGAGAGATGGATAGAGAGATGGATAGAGAGATGGATAGAGAGATGGATAGAGAGATGGAGAGAGAGATGGATAGAGAGATGGATAGAGAGATGGATAGAGAGATGGATAGAGAGATGGATAGAGAGATGGATAGAGAGATGGATAGAGAGATGGATAGAGAGATGGATAGAGAGATGGATAGAGAGATGAGATAGAGAGATAGATAGAGAGATAGATAGAGAGATAGATAGAGAGATAGATAGAGAGAGATAGATAGATAGAGAGAGAGAGAGAGAGAGAGAGAGAGATAGAGAGAGATAGAGAGAGATAGAGAGAGATAGAGAGAGATAGAGAGAGATAGATAGAGAGAGATAGAGAGAGATAGAGAGAGATAGAGAGATATAGAGAGAGATAGATAGAGATAGATAGAGATAGATAGAGATAGATAGAGATAGATAGAGATAGATAGAGATAGATAGAGATAGATAGAGATAGATAGAGATAGATAGAGATAGAGATAGATATAGATAGCTGGATATAGATAGCTGGATATAGATAGATATAAAATATAGAGAGATAGAAATATAAAAAATATATATATATATATATATAGATAGAGATATATATAATATATATAAAAAAACACATACATATTCTCTCACTCTCTATATATATATATATATATATATATAT